ATTATATCAAAAATTGGCTTTTTCTAATACTTCCTTGCTTTAAAATTTCCGAGAATATGCAGATACAACACTTTAATTTATTAAAACGCATTAATTAATAACAATGGGTTGGTCAAGCGCAGGTAACGTTGAAAGGTGTAAACGAGGATAATTGCGTCTCACCTAACGTCATCGTGCTTTTGTAGCGCGCCACTCTACGTATAAAATTGGTTGGAATCGATCTTAAGAGCCCTGCCCGAGTGCCGGAGGGATGCTCGGAAACGGGGAACGACTTGACCTTGGCTGGATTCACGCGTAGCTGAGCTAACGCAAAATCGAAACGCGTTACTTCCACCGCGTGGATCTCCTAAAGCCGGGTTCACATCGTGACCTGCAGTGGCAGCTTTCCGGATGCTGAGATATCCGCAAACGCGACTGCGCACGCAGATCCATAGGTTCCGGATAAAAAAAAGTTGTCGAAAATTTTCAAAAACTATTTTTCCATAATACTTATCTATAATAAATACATAAATTGAGATGATAATAAATCGATAACTATATAACAAAGCGTGACAATGAATGAATAGCAAGTTAAGTTATAAAACATAAACTTATAAAGCATAGTTTTAAAAACTCAACTACAATAATTAAGTTATTTCATAAAGGATCATATTTAAGGACTTTATGAATCTTGTATAATTTTAAATTAATTTATTAAGTCAAATTTTTATAAAATTATCACAAATTAAAAAGAAATTTTGAAGGTCTAATCAATGTTGACGAGAATAAGCATAATACTTTTTTAATATAAAAATTTTAGTTTTAATTAGTTTTATTGCTATACCTATACTTGATATTTATATGACACTATTTTCAAATATATATAGTATTTCTGCTCGGATTTTTGTTTCTTTCAATCAAAATCTCTTTTACAATCTACAAAAAGGCTAATATATTTATTAAAATATAAAAAAAATCTGCTTGCTACTAAATTACTTCAAGCATCTGTTGAAATTTGTTTCCATCTCGCAACTGTTATCTTCCGAAGTTTCCGTGAAGCGCAAAGATAACTTAAGTAAACTTCTCCAAGTTTCTTATGGCGCAAAGATTGACCTTCGTAACTCATTCGGTTCTATTTAATCGGGCTGATGTGACATAATTATCTTACGTGATTGTGATTTCTATTTCATGCAATTTTTTAATCGATATATCTCTCAAATTCGATAAATTAATCTAATTAATTTAAATTAATAAACTTATTTGTTGTAGAAGACTATTATCAAGTTATCTGTTAATACAGTTATTAACACGCTTCATGCCGCATTATTTTAAATGATTTGATTATGCCGCGAGTCATCCATAATACTCTTATTTGTATTTGTTTAATAATTATGTATTTGTTAAATCAAATGTATTTCATAATGTTTAAAAAAATGATAAACATCATTATTATAAAAAAGAAGGTATATCGTATATATTATCATAATTACGTCCATATATAGTAAATATTATTTTAAAAATTATTTTATAATTACGTTTCTTTTTATAGCAAAAAAATATCAATGACCTGAAAGTTCAACGTGGTGACTGATGATCTATGTGATAATATTGTTCTTTCTCGCAAATTAGATCGATATTTCTTTAATTTCTTGAAAATATTGAATCGAGATATATAAAAGATAACATAAAAAAAGAAAAAAAAATTAAATTTCAAAATGCAAAGCATCTTACTTTCACTTTATCAGCATAATTAATAAAAAATAAGTATTTATATCTCTTGAGATTATTAAGATACTTAATATTACGAGAATATTAAAGATACTTGTATACAAATATTTATATAATTTTCGTTTTATTGTATTTTATTCTTTCTTTATATGCGTTAACAATAAAGTTAATAATGAAATTACAAATATTCAAAAAACGTAAAACATTTTTGCACTTTGTTGTTTTATATATATACATTTTCTATATCTTTGAACAGTTCATACAATGATTTTCTCTACGATAGAAATAAATCTAATTTGGTTTTCATTTTCTAAAGACAATTTATACAATTTATACACTTATTTCAACACATAGAAACAAACGTTTAAATTCCAATAAGACAAATGTCCCGATGATGTTATTCGATTTTCTCGAAACATTTTCGATAAATCAATATAAAAGCATTCGCTCCACTTTCTTCGAACCCATTACATACCTCGTTTCGTTCGAAAGCGATGTAAGTCAGTTTCCAAGTTACCAAGATCGATAGATGCCGTATTACTTTGTTTCCGTATCCCAATTGGAAGTCACGATACCTTCAGAATTGGAACTTAAAATTAATCGTTTTCAAAATAAACGATTTGTGCTTCGATTCTTCGCAATGTATTTTCCGTGTGAAACGAGCTTGCGGCCCTACGCACCACGTCGACAAGGGAGCGGATGCATCCACCTCTACCCTCCCTACCTCTCATCCCGCGAGAAAGATCGTAGGGATACACCAAGGCACATAGAGAGGGTGAATCACCCCCGCGCGCGCCTGACGTACTCTGGCGTGCATAACACCCACGGTTGGTCGGTCCACGCGTGACTAGATACTGCTTTGCACGCGTAGGGGACAAACGCCAATTATATTTTAATATCCCTCCGCGCGAGACGCGCCTTTCTCCGGCTTTCGGAGCGCGAACGATGCGAAATTCCGACGACGTAATGCTTGCGTTTTTCTCGTTTTCCTGGAATTCATCTCCATCCGTTATGAAAATTGATGAAAATTTGAAGATATTTAAACAAAAGATAAGTAACAAATAAATTACAAATAAAATTTTACAAAATGATAGTCGTAGAAAATTCCGAAAAATGGTACAATAGTACGATACTCGTTCTATATTTTATATTTACAGTAACGATTCTGATCTTTTTTTCATGCTAATCTTAGTTTCGTAAAAATCTAAAAAAATGCGAAAAGAAAAATTTTAAATAACACGATAAGAAATGACCTAACTACAATATATCTTTCCTTTTTCTGGAATTTATCACAATTTCTATGAAAATTGTTTATATTTGAACACACCAGAATGTACTTCAACATGGGAAAATTTTATTTATCTGTATTCTTTTTTTATTGTGCAACTTGTTGGAATATCTGTTTTATAAAATTCAATAAATTTAAGACTCAAAATCAAGAAAAGAATGATGTAGAATTTAATATGTACCTGAATGTAATGTAAATAAAAAACAATTTGAAATGGAAACATTTTAAACATTTAATTTAAAAAAATAGATATTCTTTATTAATAAAATTCATGTTTTACGTGCAATACAAGAAATTCAGATACGTCAATATAGAAGAGCAATTCATTTTAGAAAAATACTTTATGAAGATTTGAGATTGCTGCTATTTTTGTCCAAACTGTCAAGGTTAATTCAAGTAAGCGTAAAGATAATATAGTCTTATCTGTAAAAGAGAGTAATCATGCTATATTCACAATTAGGAACCTGGAATATACCACAGATAAAACCATTTTATTTAACTCGACATGTATCGCGGACTTGAATTATATCATATATCTATCAATATTCCTTTAATGAATCATATATTGTATCAATTTATTGCCATTTTGTTGTCACTCAGAAGAATATTATTTTATCCTATCCTAAATCTTTACTATTAAAACATATAAATAAAAATTGCCATTTAACTAATTATAATAATCCAAATTACTTATTAATAATCCGAAATCTCATTTTTTTATATGTATATTTAATGATATTTTTTGATAAATTTTAAATCAGATTTAATCTTGAAATTGGGACAGCAATTGTATAACAACAGATGGGCATAATTTTTTCTTCTAAATCATCGATCTCAATTAACCAAGAAATGTCGAAAGAAAGGGAAAAAAAGATAATTGTGAAATGCTGGGGGACAGAGAAAACAGAGAAGACCGAGAGACATATCGTTCTCACATTGCGGTTCGTCTCCATCTGACTGATCTGACGCTACCGTATATTTCCCCCGATCGGCGTCCGTCCTTTTTCCCGACTCCCGTGCGGTGCAGTGCGCGCACGTTGCCGAGCGTGCGCACTGCGCGCGCAGCACGCGCCCTCCAATGTACCTTCCGCACGGTTGAGCATCTCCACCATTCAGAATCGATGATGTCACGAAGCGGAGCCAAGATCCCCCACTCGCGTAGCGCGGTGCGAGCGCGGAGAGGGGGACTGCGCCCACCGCCCATTGGTCCAAAACGGCAGTCGGACGTACCAACACGAGGCCGTGGCCACCACGGCGGCACGACCCAACGAGAGTCCGCGAGTCGGTGCGTGTCAGTCCGTGCGTGTGCTTTACCTAATAATATTTCCAACGCGGCTAGTCCCGCGCGCTCTCGCCTCTTTTTTCGTCTGACAGCCAACACGCATCTCGCCGCCCTCTCCTCTCTCTCTCTCTCTCTTTCTCTTTCTCTCTCACACACACACACACACGCACTCTCTCTCTCTCTCTCTCTCTCTCTCTCTCTCTCTCTCTCTCTCTCTCTCTCTCTCTCTACTTTTCTCCACATTGCTACATGTATGCGTATATACAACTCTCTCTCTTTCTCGCTCTTCCTTGTTAGGATTTAGATGTTTGAAGGTATACCAAAGCTCTTCGCATCGCGTCGTGTCGCGCCGCGTTGAGTCGTCGAGACTACCCTCCTCCGTCCCGACGGAGCTCTCACGAAAGCGAGAGAGGAGAAGAATCACGCTGCAGAGCAGCACGTGTGCTGCACTCGCGTGGATCGGTAAGCGCGGTGCGGTTAAATAGTCATCGGTTCTCACCACCGCCGAGAGCCCGTCGCGCGCGATAACCGATGCGAAAGTCATTCTGCCACCCTCGACGGACTTACCGGTAAACATTTATTATTAGCGCGCAACTAGCTGCGAGAGTGAAGCGGTGTCCTCGCGAACAAATATCGGCCACGATTTCGGTTGAAGCAGTAGATCGGAGTAAAGAATCGGAGTGTCGAATCTCGCGCAAGTGACAGCGACGGACTCTACGACTCACCTCCGGGACTGTGATTCGTATATGCGAGGTGCAACGAAAGTAAGAATCAGCTAACGGATTCGCAGTGGTGCCTTTATCGAACGAAGACGTCGGAGGGAGGACACCGTCGGCCGTCGGCAGCTCTTGGTACGTGATCACGTGTTTGTGAGGAAATTTGATTAAGGAGTATTGAGTGAAAGAATACACGCAAAGTAGAAAGGTTGATTGTGTTTCATTGATCAAATCTTCAATCTTTTACAATAAGCCATTATCTGAGCTTTAAGATTTAAATTGTTAATAATTGATTAGTCACAATCGAATGTGAAAAAAATAATTTATAGCTATGAATTTACAATTTAAGATTAAAATTTCGATAAATTATGGACTTAGAGCTTATTGTGTAAGAGTTCACTATTTTTTTACATCAATGATTAGATCGACTTGTGTTTTTATTTATTTATTTCGTCATTAATTCATTTTAATTTTGGACTGATTGAAAATTAAAAAAAATATATCCCTTGTTTGTAATATTGAATTATTGTGAAACTTTCTTTATTTTATACACTTATTATTATATAATTAAATTGTAAATTAGTCAGAAGAGATAGAAATAAGATCTCTTAATCGAGTGATTAAATTAAAAATTTAATTTCTAGTAAATAGATTTTGTTGTCTCTAATTCTTTTATCCGTCTAGTGTTCTTCTGCTATCGACGACTAAAATTTAAAGACTTGATTAAACCTGTCGATAGATTTGCTCAGTTTTCATTTTTCGTTCCATAAAACCTTACACAAATCTTTCTTAGTTTATTCGTTAACGAAAAATTATTTTAATTTAGTTTTAATAAAATTTTGTTTAATTTTTTTATTAATATTTAAAAATGAAATTCGAAAATAGATATTATAATCGCAATAGTCATTTTTTTAGTTAAACGGTTCTTCTAGCATTTTTACAATACGAATAAATTAGATTTTGAGCAAAACAATAAAACTAATAACGAATTATGAGTAAAATTCGTTTTAAAGTGATAAAGAAATGTAATATTAATTGCATAATTTTTATCACTTTTCACAAAAATTAATTTAATACGATACAAGCAAGAATTCTTAAGATTCAATTTGCTGAGATTTAACCTGTTTTTGCTTATTTATAAAAAAGCATGTTTAAAAATATTACTTCTCTCTCTCTCTCTCTCTCTCTCTCTCTCTCTCTCTCTCTCTGTCAGAAATCATTGATATAAATATCTAAATATCGCTGTGATCGCAAGTAGAACTTTTTGTCTGATATATTGACATTGAAAATGCCAAGTATTCAAAATATCTTACTTCGATAATGTCTATCGTCTTCAGGTAGGAGTATATGCTCGATTAATTGAACACCGCGAGCGCGCCGTTAATCGCTCGCTACGCAGCAAACGTACTCGAATCCCAACGGGATTCATCCTGCTGATTAACACAGCTCGTGGTATCAGCCACGGCAGGCGAATGCGCGTCGCGCGCGGGAATGCAGATTGCATGCACGTAGCGTATAATACGGCTTAAAGCGTTAGGCGCTCATTCTCCCCCGCGAACTCATCGTATAGTACCAGAGACGAATGCGATTGAATAGCGCGTCGAATTTCCGTGACGAATATATGTATATGTAGGTATACGAATCCTATCTCCCTCGTTTCGTCTTTCTCACATATCCCATCTCTTGTGTATCTCGTCTCGTAATATCTTCTCAGTTTGTTCTCTTCTCTCTTTCCCCTACGTGTCTCCCCGCACACAGTCACGGTATTATGGCGTAATTAGGCGATAGGCTTTATACGATTTGCCATGTTAAATGCACGAATGAAAGAGCCCCCGAAGTCTGAATGTCGAGAGCCGAAAGTGTGGGACGTCCCATGGTGACATTCGACGCGATTATTGTGGAACGCTCCTTTCCAGCGACGTGACGGCGTATTGTGCGTCGACTATTACAGCAGCTTCTTTGCGGTAAACCCGATTCTCTAATCGGGGTAAATATACGATGGCAACGGCGTCGGTTGCTCGTAAACAACGTTGGTCCGCGCATAGAATGTCTGAAAGTGACTCTACACGGTCAATAATACTGCATTAACAAATACAATATTACTAATTTGACAATATTACTAATTGTGTGTGGTTAATATTAATGGATTGACGTAGAATACTGATGATCTGAATCTGAATTGTGATTCTCAAATATCAGTATCGCTTTATTAGAATACATGTCACAGTACATGTCACAGTTGTGTAATAGATAATATATGTAAAACTGAAATAATGAAATAATGAAATGAATTGTTAATAATACTGATCGTATAAGGTTGTAAAAATATTGAAAATATTGATACATACTGTTGATATTACTGATTCAATATTATTAATCAGTATTATTGATCGTGTATCGTTATCATCTTAAGCCATTTCTAGACCGATTTTTTCAAGCAAGAAGAGCTTTACGAGTAGAATATTTTTGTGAAAAAAATATCTTTAAATATTTTTGAAAAAAAAAATTAAGATAAAAATAGCCATTGTTTTGATGGCTATTTAACTTATTTATTTAAAAAATTTAAGTTTGAAGATTAAATTTTATAGATACTGTAAAAGTATTGTCTTCTGAAGTTACATTTTATTATTTACTTTTAGCTTTACACAAGGAGATTAATTTGCTAATATATTTGCTTAGAAAATAGAAACAAGCAGAGATAGAGAAATATATTACAAGAACGAATATTCAACAATAAGAGGCCTGATACACAAAAAAGTTAAGTAGAGTTTCGCAGAAAAGCATAACGTAATGAAAACGATTCGAAAATCTGAAGCAGAAAACTCATAAATAACAGCAAATTGTTGCAAAAGAGCAGAAAATTGGCCGCGAACCTCTTTATAGTACAGAACGCAATTGCATTAGATTGAATTGTATTATGTTTCGAAGGAAGCCTTCCGTAAGATCTATAACCGTTTAACGCCTCGTTAACTGTTCATTATTAACGTGCCGTTAAACAGGAATAGATCCTATAAACGACGCGCGCGAATTAACGTTGATCAATGAAACGTCTTTCGACAGTCTACATCTGGAGCGGATTGGTGCATTATCGGATTGATCGATATCGAAGTAAAATAAAAACGAGAAATATCATTAAATACTTTGATTCGACCGTTGTCATACGATAATTAAGAAAATTTCTGTGAAACTGTGTGCAAAGCAAATTTTTCCGAATGTATGCACGCTGCTACAGATTACGGGAATTAAAGATAAAGAAAATAACGATTGTAGAAATTATATTACTGAATGCTTTAAGAGATATAAATGCCATACTCCAATACCCAAAATTCAAGAATAATTTGGCAATTAAGAAAAATTAAGATTACTTTGATTATTGTAGTTGTTTTATGTAAGTCCAATATATAGTGAAGTTTTTATTATTATCTTGTTTTGT